ATAGTAGCTATTATGTACCCTCCCATAACAAAACAGTCCACATCTTAACATTGGACTATTCTAAACAAATTTAGAATAATTTTGTTTCATTATTTATCTTGCATAAAATGTAGTTACCAGGTGCTGAGTTTTTCTTGGATGATTCAGCAGTGTCTGGTGGTGAACTAGAAAAGAGAATTTGGGCTTTCTTGCAGAAAAGTGCAGAAAGTAACTTTTTGTTAGCTATGTAAGGAATCTGTTATTCAGATACTAATTTAACTCAGTGATTGTCCTGAGAGTGACTTGTGCTCTGGTGTTGCATCTTTTCCATTTAGAGCAAGGGACTTTATAGATTAGCTCACGTCTTAAATTTTTCGTAGTTTTCAGCCTTTTTCTCTTCCCTCAGAGAGTATGCTGGGTTTTTTAATCCTTTCTGTGAATTTAGGAGAGACTATTGCCTAGCTTTTCAGCATCTGTGATATTGGGGGTGTCCTGGATATTACTTTAGCTTTCAAAAACCGTCATTCCTTTTCTTTTTGTTATGGATGTGTAGGCAGTACAGGTGCTGAAGCAGCCTGGCAGCAGTTTGGACGGGAGGGAGCTGGGGAGGAGGAAGGTGTGGAGAGTGTTTTTTAGACTGCTCTGCCAGTTGCGTGAGAGAGAGGCCAGAGCTTGACAACCCTGCCAGTGAGCAGCCAGCTGCCCACCCGCCCCATGCTGTGCCGTGCCAATTCCTGGCCAAACATCTCCTACAGCATCCTTGGGGCAGTGTGACTCATCAAGCCGGCCGCATCATCCATGGGGATGCAGCTGGACTTCAGTTCCTGGGGATGGTGCCTTGCTGCTGCCAGTTGGGAACATGTATCCACAGTTTGACTTTGTCCTTTTCTATTCTCTACTGATGGGGTGAGCAGGTTATCCTTGGGGGTGAGCAGGATATCCTCAGAAGGGATTGTCCCATGGTAGAGTAACTGAACCTGTGGGTATCATCACACCTGGCTGACTCTTTGGAGAGGAGAGACTTGGGAACTAGGTATTGTTTTCCCAGCCTGCCCCAGGTAAGTAATCTGATCTTGAACAAAGAAACACAGTGAGGGCTGTTTCTTATTTTAACACATTAAAGCAAAATCCTTTTTTGTTACAAAGGCAGAAGGTTTGAATATTCCTGTGCTCAGTGCTTTCCCTGAGCTGCTGGATTTGGGGATGATAATGAGGGATTTAATTCTGGGCAGCAGTCACTGGCAGCAGGATTGGGATGGGACACCTATAATCATGCTGTTGCATTTATTTTGCACCATCTGAGCGTGAAAGGGGCAGTCGAGCTCTTAATTGTAGTCCTTGGACATCTGGTGCCATCCTCCTCCTGCTGCAAGTGCAGATGTACTGAAGAAAAGATGCTCTGTGATTCTGAGGCATGTAGACAGTTAAAACTGTCAGGGAGCAATTCCACTGCCTTTGGAGCTGCGGTGGGGCTTCTGTGGGTACAGGCTGGAGAAGGGTCTGAATGAGAAGGTTGTTCCCCCTCCTGCTGCCACTGGTTACCTATCATGTTTTCTTACCAGCTCAGGAGAAAAGGAAAGTTGGTCTGTGCTTTCTGTCCTAATTGGATGCGCTTTTCTGAGTTGCAAATAATCCCAGCTGAGGACATACAAAGCAGCTGGTGTGGGGAACGTGACCTGTTGTGTGAGCACCAGTCTGCGAAACAGCCTGGAGCAGGAGCCAAGCTTGGAACATGACTGCCCTCTTGGAAAGGGGACTGATGGCTGCCAGAGACTTGAACAGTGTGGGAGAGATCTGTAAAAGACCAACAGCTGAATCAGCTCCTTAATATGCTTTTGTACATGATCCAGTCAGTGGAAGATGCAGGAAGGCAAACTACCTGGTAACAGTGGTGCCACTGTAGTCCATCACTCTGGTGTGGCAGGGAATGGCAGGCTGAGGAGGCTCCTGATCTCTGAGGGGAACAGATTGCAGTAATGGGAAGGCAGCAAGAGAGAAGGAGAAAAACCAAACTCGGAAGTGAGTAGAACTACCTTGCATAGGTACGTACCTGTTAATGGGATTTTTCCTTGGCAGCACTAAACTTAATCACTGTTGCAAGTCATTTGAGGTATTAGTGCGTGTGGCGAAGACGTAACCAACATCTGCTCTTTCTGTGAATTTGCTCTGAAATGTCAGTGTGTCAGGAAGGTGCTTGCACTGGGCCTTTTGCAGTGAATAAGAAAATCTCTCTTGTCAATGATGCTACTGCTTTTTTTTTTTTTTTAATTTAAAGGGTAAGAAAACCAAACAGGTTTTGGTCATGCACAGAGCCAGTTGATAGTGTGTGGGCAAGCCAGGTTAGGGATGGCACAGTTCATCTGGAAACCACTAATGCACAGGCAAGTCCTGGCACAGAAACAAACCACCTCACTGCCTGAAAAGCTCATAGGGAGCGATAGATCCCTCTTAAAAGGCTTGCCCTGCACTGTGTGTGTGGGTCACAGAGGTAAGGAGTGAGAAGTGCTGCTGGGTTACAGAGGGATGTGATGGGAGGGTCAGGGAGGCATTAAGAGCAGGGCAGCTGGGCTTGGGGGATTCAGCTTGCTTTGTTAATGTGTCATGCAAGAGCAGATGCTTAGGGAAGCAGGACTGAAACTTGGGTTTCGTTTTTGCAGATCAAACTAAGTGTAGGCCATCTGTATTTCAAGCCTTTTTTATGGTTATACCAGGCACATCGCTGTGCCAGAAGGGCAGGGTATGATGTACAGTGCTGGAGAAAGAAATTACTGTTTTTTCTTTTTACTGCCACCTTTTCCATGTTGCCAGGGTGTCCAAACTTTGTCTGTCACACTGAGAGTGTAGGTGAGACCAGTCCAGTGGCACAGGCTGCAGCACGACTCCTCTTATGTCAATTCTTGTGCTGCTTTTGATACCCAGAACATTTTTGTCTTGTTTCTCTGAATAAGTGTGCAGCTATTTCTGGGTTACTCCAAACGTGTTCACACCTAGAAAGAAAGATGGTAAAGAAAACCTAACATGAATCTTTCACCTGGAGATAGTATTGCATAATGCTTAGTCTTGGAATTTAAAAGTCAATTATCTGGTGTTATTTCCCATCTTTGACATGAATTTTCTAATCTCTTGGAGAAACCAGCAACTTTCCTGTGCTTTATGGGGCCCTTTTCTAAAATGCATATAATTCTCTTGAGCATAATATTCACCTTGAAGCGTGTTGTAAGAATTAATGTTCATAAAGTGTTTTAAGATTCATTCATGCAAATTACCATAGGAGTTCAAATTAAATTCTGGAAGTATCTGTTACTATTGCAAATTAACCAACATTTTTTGTTAGTTTTAATATACGTGAGCTTGTGTTCAGAAAAGTTTAGTGTGAATCAGTGATTCTGCAGGGCCCAAGGACTTCAGATATCACTTTGCTGATGTACAGGACATGATGCCCCTATTAACCAGTCAATTAAACAGGGCTGCAGCACGTTTTTGTTGCAAAGGTTTATTGGTGGATGCAATCTTGTAACATTGGAGTAATGTTCATTAAAAGGTCTTGTCTCCAGTATTTAGAAGATGGGGAGTTTGTGTGCCACAACAACCCATGCATTTTCTCCTCATTGCTGGAAGTGTCTTCCTTGCGTGAGGGTGGAAATTAAGTATTTTCTGCTGTTCTGGTGATGATCTATCTCCTTGCTGAAGCTGTTAGCAAAAATGTCAGTACTCTGAGTGGTGGCATTATGATGGGGAGGGTTTTGTACTACCAGACAAATCAAGACAAACAAATCAATGTAGGGGGGCAGGAAAGCCATTAAGCAGTAATAGGTTTTAGTTACTGTTGTTTCGAGATGGATTCAAAAGGATAATATAAGGGTGAAAGACATTGTATTCCATTATCAGTCTCCAAGATCATCTGGTCCCTGTACCAATTACGCTTAGAACTATGCAAAGCCTGTAATACTGGTAGCTGGTAAGATGCAGTGCAGTGATATTTCAAGAGAGAGAGAAAGATAAATCATCTGTATATACACTGCCTCTCTTGAAGGTGTTTTTCCTGTACTGAAATAATTAAATGCCAAAGTGTGAGAAGCACAGGTAAAGCTGAAATCCTCCCAAATTGGGCAGGTTCTTGATCCTACAGCTCAAAGTGATCTGTAGCTACATTTTTTGGAATTAAGTCAGAAATCTCTTTTCAGCTCCAGTGGCTCATTGTATAGGTCAGTGGAGCCTGGGAAGAAGAATGTGCTCACAGGTTTGCATGATGTGAATAGTTTCTGGGGTCAGTGTGGCATGATGTCAGCACTGCAAGAGAACATAATTTCTCTCTGACAATGAAGATGAGTGTTTCCCAGTTGCAGGTTGTGATCCCTCCCAAAGGTGTCCTTGGAGCAGTTTGGGGGCATCTGTGAAGCATTTAATTTTCATGAGGGAAGAGTCAGCTGCCTTTAATTGCTGACTGCACTCAGTGCTTCCAGGGTGTATTTCTATGAGCAGCCAGTAACTATAACCTGTTCTTGCTCCCTTGACCAACACAGACTGAGCTACTCCTAGCAGTGGGGAGGTATTTAATCCCTCCTTGCCTAATTGAGTCTGGGAAACGTAGGGGGAAGGAGAGAATGAAAGGGGGATACACAAATACAGGTGTAGGCCAAAAGAAGGTTAAGTTCTCAGAAAGTTTAGGGATTTTTGTCCTGAACTGGAGGACTGAGGGCACATTGAAAATGTGCTACTGTCTGCATCCCTCTGCACTGCAACAGAAGTGCCGCGTCTTCAGGAGGATCTGAGGGTTTTTTGTGACCCTCTCCCAAAGTGAAGACGAGTGCTCGGGGAGGAGCTGCTGCAGTGCTTCCCTCTCTGAAACCTTGCTGACACCAGTGTTGTTTTCTGATCCGCAGGTCCAGAGGATGGCATAGCAACAACGTCACCATCCAGGGAGCTGGCAGTCCTTCCTTGCCTGCCTGCATGGTGCTTGCACCGATCCCAAGCCTTTGTTTTTGGACCGAAGAAACCTGAAAACCTCTCTCTCCTAATTCATGAGCCAGCAGGATGTGGTCGCTGTGCTTTCAGAACGCCTGCTCGTAGCTGCCTACAAAGGCCAAGTGGAGAATGTGGTGCAGCTTATCAACAGGGGTGCCAAGGTAGCCGTTACCAAGGTAACCAGAGAAAAACGCTTTGTGAAATCCCTGGGAAACTAACATAACTCCTAGGCCATTGTCTCTGACAATGCCCTCGTAGCTTTACCATTCTGAATGTGACTGAGCTTAGTGTTTAGTTTTCCTTAAAGTTTCTACTTGATAGCTCACATGGATTTGCAGCACAGTGCATGTCTGTGTTCGTGCACTTCCCGGCGGACGCGGCTGGGGCGAACGCCGAGTCCTTGGAAACGCAGGGTGTCAGCCCAGGGGCAGCCACGTTTTTCAAAGCATGCAATGACTTTTGAACACTGTGTGAACTGATGAATGGAGCGATTCATCACTGTTGAGGGGAGAGTGGTTCAGAGTGCCCATCTTCCTGGGAGAGGGGATGGGAGGAAGCCACTTGATGTGGTAGGGTAAAGGTAGGCAGAAAGAGTTTCTTGCTGCTAAAGTCTCTTGGTTACAGCAGCCCCACTTATACCCAACATCTTCATTGATTTGTGCTGTGTAGCCCTCAATCAGTTCCAAACTTAGGGGTTACAAACTGTATTCCCTGTTCCTTCAAGATAAGGTCAGCATTGAAGGATTTCTGCTTAGATAAAGAGCGTTCAAGCTGGTATTTGCCTCTTCATGTCTCTCAAGATGTTATAAATGCTACTAATATATAAAAGATGAGATAGAATAGACTGTTGCAGTGGAGGCTTGATCAGCAAAAACCCTTAAAAATAATTAGGTAAGTTAGATATTTAGAGCTGGAACATAACATTTGGGATGTCTGTTTTGATGAACTAGTTTTCTCCATTGCATCTAGTTTTATTTGTATTTCCATATTGATTTTGAACATTATTTATATATGGGAGATAACACGTAGAGATAGAAAGCAAATGTGAGTGCATTTGATAAGCAGTCTGTCCCTTCCTCTCTTTATCTGTCAGTGACAGTTGTTTTCAATCCCTTTGCAGTGTTTGAGTCGTAGGTAGTATTTATTTAGAAAACTGGACTGAAACTCATGTTTCTAAGTCTGGTTTGACAAAAATAAGTGGCTGCTTGTTGGTAGATACAAAGCACAGATACATGAATGGCCCCATAAAGATGCCTGTTTGGCTCTGTTGTCCAAGCAGTCTGTAGCTGATGAACAGCTATTAAATATAGTAATAGGTCAGGAAATACTGACTTACAGGTGTCTGAATGGAGCTCAGGGTTTTCTGGTTCTTGGTTTTTTTTGGTGTTGTTGGTTTTTTTTTATTGGGGGGAGGGTCTTTGTTTGTTTTTGTTATTTTAAGAACTTTGAGGCTGCTGAGGGACCTACTTGAAAATACACAAACAGTTGAAATGATGCCATCCTTTGTATAAGACTGTTTATTAATGTAATTTCAAATCCAGCTTCCACACTGTTTGAGGGTAAGTGGTGATCTTTATAATGGTTTCCAGAATAATCATGCCTCTGATTTAACTGTTTCATGGGATTAGTTATCATAATCCCCAATTCAAATGCAAAATCAACACTTTCTCTCTATTAAGGTTGTTTATTATGTAAATAGCAATGCCTTGTGTTAATTGCAAGAAGCAAATTGTGTAGATCTGACTTTTGTACACAAAACCAGGTTAATTTGATATAATGCAGATTTGCTGGAGTTGACTAATTGTTCTTCCCAGTATGATACAGGTGACTTCCTGCTTCTTGTGCTTGCTTTGCTGTTCAACCCTTTCATGGAAAATCCAAACGAAGCTGATATGACAGCAAAACTGTGCCCAGGTGCAGAGTATTGGTGTTTCTGTTGGAAAGCCATGCCTGCTGGCCAGCTGTGAGGCCATCCCTGTGGCTGGTTCTGTGGGGTTGTGGCTGTTCTTTCCTTCAGGTTGTGTGTCATCCCCATGGAGCCTGGGGGGTGTGGGGATGTCATTCTGGATGCACCCTGGCACATCAGCAGGCAGCACAGATGAGTTTCTTGGGTAGCTTGGTGGCAAGCCCTGCTCAGGAGAGGTGAAATCAGATCAGCAAGACTGTGGAGGAGTGCACAGAGTGGAGAGGCTGTCAGAGGAGTGACAGAGGCTACGTGTGTGGAGTGTTTTGGATGCGCACACACACACATATTCCTCCTGTCCTGCAAGCCAGATAGAGGTGAGCTCAATGTGAACCAAGAAGTGTGAAACCAAGCTGCTGCCCTCATCAAAGCCCATCAGTTCAGGCTCAGTAATGACCAGTCCAGGTCTTCATAGCATAATCCTGTTTGCATCTGGCTCTCACCCAGCCAGTTAGCTGCATAGGGAGAGCATGTGCATATTTGTCTATGAGAGGCTGTATAAACATACCCTGGAAGAGCTTGGCCTGCTAATCTGGTGACACGTAAAGGCTGGAAGGAGAAAGAGCTGTTAAAAGTCAAGGACAAGGTTGTCACAGGAGCAAGCATGTACGAATTAATCTCAAGTATGTTTAAACTGAAGATTTTAAGGGATTTTTTTCAGCCATCAGAGAACCAAGTTCTTGTGTAATCTCTGAATAAGCAGAACAGGTGCAAAGTAAGAACAACTTTGAGGATAGGGTTGCTAATTTCAGCATGAAAATTAGCATGCTTGCTGTAGCAGAGAACTGTTGATCAAGATTTCAGATAAATTGAAACCCAGACACCTCTCCCCAGGATAAAATTTATTGCAAAATGAAGCATAAAAATAAAAGTACTCATGTGCATGCCTTAGTCCTCTTTTTCCTGTGTCTTCTATTTTTGCAGAAGTGTATTTAATTAAAAAAAAAAGTTGTTTGTTTTTTTTTTACTTCTCAGCCAAAATGGCTGATTAATTTTATCAGAGTTTATTGGAAGAAGACATGTGGAGACAAAGCTCTTTGGAGGGAGAGAAAAAATTCCCATATCACATTAGGCTTTAAATGTGTTTCTGCTATGCATCTGTAAGAACAGACTGATTCTTATGAAAACACCATGCAGAACCACTGCTTGAAGTGACCAGGATTTAAAGCTAAATGCTAGAGAGTTCTTTATTGAAACTGAGTTAATTGAGCATGGCTTAAGAAAAATGAAGCATATCTTCTGGAACAAACCAAGTACAATTAAATGCTGGATAGCTGACAAGTTTGTCCAGTTCTATTTTTATCGTATTTAAGGAAGGTCACACAATGTGGTTAATTGCTGCTTCAGTAAACAATAATTCAGCTGCAGAGCAGTATTTAATTTTTCTGTATTATTTCAGAAGATGACTAGTATGTAAGAATTAAAACTCAGTGGAGAATTGGTGTATCCAGATGCTCACTTCAGCCTTTCCTAAGGAATGCGTTCCTTTCATTTTGACAGTGTTACTAGCAAATCACCTGTCCAGGTGAAGTCAATATGAAATTGTACACTCCTGCGTCTTCTCTGACTCCAGTGAGGGACACTGGTGCTCTTTCCAGATTTTAAAGCTCTTAAATTCACATGGAGGAGCTGGTGGCCAGTAGATCACAGCGCTGTTGACCATTGGATGCCAGGCAGCCCAGAGTGAGAGAGGGCTGGTGGCCCCATGTTGCACCTACATCAAGCACTTATCCTGGTGTTGGGATCTCTGCTACCAACTGTGTGAGATGTTGGCCAAGAGATGATCTGCAGCTCAGTGTATGAGGCTTCATGGCTCTGCTTTGGGCATCTTCTTAACCAAGTTGCTCTGTTCCTGGTCTGCCTGGTAACACAAAGAGATTATTTCCAATTTTGTGCCTTTTTTGTCTGGCATTCTTCAGGTGTGAAATGTGTAGCTGTTTTCTGTATGAAAAGGAAAACAAATACCCTGAACAACTGATCAGACAAATAGGCTGAACCAAGCTGGTGCAGTTAGAAAGTATTTTGGTGAATATGCTACAAAAGCTGGAAAAGTTTGAATGGAGCCTGGTATAATTAAGTCTTCCAAACAGGAAAGCTGGTCCCATCTTTCAGTCCTTTCATAGTAGAGCTTTCTTTGAGTAAAGTTACTGACAACTGCATCCTTGACATTTACACTCTGGGGCTTTTGCTGAGCTGCTCTGCCTTGCTGTCCTCCCAGGGTGTTGTTTTTCTTTTGCTGGGTTATTTTTCTTTGGATTTTGTGAATTGAGATAGGTTAGGCAGAGGGCTGCAGACCACTAGGTGTGGCCCAGAAGGAACAGTAATAGTGACATCTCAGATCAGCTCTTCCTTTGGTCCCTAGAAGGGTGCTTGGAGGATGGAGAGAAGCAGGATTTCACTTCTCAACCACCAACTTTGGGTTTATCTGAGGGATGCCAGTCTGAAAGAAGGCACTTACTGGGTTTTGGGTTTGCACTGGGGTGTTGCAGCATGGGATGTAGCCTTCAACAGCAAGAATTCACAGGGCCAGAAAAAGCTGTGTATTAGCACGCACACAAAGGAGTGTATCACTTCTCTGTTAAATGTGGAAAAGATCACGAGAGAAAGTCAAGAAGGTTAATACAGACAGTTTTAATGGAATTGATACAGCACCATGGGTTTTATAAATATTTTTTCAAAGAGAAGCAGAATATAGCTTTTCTGCAGAGTGTAACATTAAGATCACAGATACAAAATTGAATTCTGTAGAGAAGAGATGATAATTCAGAAAAAAACCACATAGACATGCAAGGGGTAGTGCTTCTGTTCTGATTCAGTGATTCTGTTTGATTTCATATTTGAACTACTCATGTTACAAACCTGCCATATGGCAACACTGTTGTAATGCTGGGGTACTTGGAGTCTTCTTGTCAGGATTTCAGTTTCAGAACATGTTCATAGAATCATAGAATCTTAGGGGCTGGAAGGGACCTCGAGAGATCATCTAGTCCAACCCCCCTGCCAGAGCAGGGTCACCTAGAGTACATCACACAGGAACGCATCCAGGTGGGTTTTGAATGTCTCCAGTGAAGGAGACTCCACACCCTCCCTGGGCAGTCTGTTCCAGGGCTCTGTCACTCTCACAGTAAAAATTTTTTTTCGGATATTCACCTTGAACCTCCTATGCTCCAATGTACACCCATTAGCCCTTGTCCTATCACTGGTCATCACTGA